GCCAAACGGACGTATTGCTTTATGAATGAAATTGTGAAACAAAAAGTGTACTTATATCTTGAGCATCACTTGGTATAGCTGCAGAACCGTAGCTCTCTGCAGCTGATTGAGAAAAATAGGACAAATAAATCAGAGAGATCTGCTTTATCTGTCTGAATTTTCTCAAGCAGAGAGCTACTGTTCTGCAGCTACACGTAGTATCTGTTCAATAATTCTGGTATTGATATATGTTGGACAACTTCAGAGTCATTGGCAGTAAAGAAATGTGACAGTTTCCAGGTCAGAAAAAGTTTATCTAAGAGACTGGAATCTGTACTTCCTTGTTACAAAAAAACAAACAAACAAAAAACAACAAACAATTTGTATAAGAATTTAAAAAAAAACCCTACTTTTTCAAAGATTGGCGTAGATGTATCTTTACTGTTTTACAAAGGTCATGACAGAGACAAATTCAAGGTCACTTAAATCAAAGTTCACAGTTAGTATGTTGATTTTAACTGTGTGTGTTTCCTGACTGGTACTCGCTATTTGAACTAAATGGTAGGAGAATGTTGTATAATTAGTAGGTACTCACTACTTTAACCAAATGGCGGGAGACAGTCGTCAAGCTTAGTGTTGAAGGCCTTCCTCGCCTAAGAAGAGATCAAAAGTATGAAACTATTTCGCCTTAACTCTTCTGATTAGAAGGTGAAGAGACTAGTCATTGATGAAGTTACATGTAAGCGCTGACTGACAGCTCAAGTTGTTGACCCTGACAATGATTCACTAGCCCAGAAAAATAATAGCATTGTAATATATATTTTTTTATTTTTAATGAAAAACCATGTATGAACAATTTTTGCTGGAATTTCTTGCTCTCTTGACTTTCTGTTATTGAAGATATGACAATTATTTCAGGAAATAAATAGAAATGCCGAAGAATTAATATCTGCTCAGGAGGAAAAAGAAACAAGATTAGAGAAAAGAAAAGCAAAGAAAAAAGTGACTATACCTTAAAAGTACACATTTATGACAAAGCATTCGCACCTCTCCGAGAAATTCTCTAAGTCCATTTAGTCAAGGGTCATATCACAGACATGATTTAAATGTCCCTAAACATCATGAGCCATGTTGCATAGTGGTTAGCGTGTTAGTCTCCAAGCAGTATAATACTTCTGTGTTTTATTGCTGGGGGTTCGAATCTCATGTATACTATCTAATATTTTTATAAATGAATATTTTCAAGAAATTTATTTTCTCTCAGAAGATGTTTTTTCTCTCATAATTTAATAAACTTCAATAATGAGAAGAAAATTTAAGTACTCAAGTTACATATCATTTTTATTCATGGGGGTCAATGTTCGTGGGTTGCACAAAATTTTCTGGTTCGTGGGGACGTAATTTCGTTGTTAACAAGTTCTATTTCGCTTTTATTTTTTTTTAGTTAAAATCTGTCAATGTTGCTCATTTAAAATGATTAGGAGTTATCTCTCCTGTGAACATAAAACGTACTGCAATTAGTAGTGATTTCCATATGTTTCATTCTTCTCAGCGGTCAGTATATTTTCTGTTGAAGTTAACCTCACTCATCTCATTTCAAAATGTCCATCGCACAGTGTTATAAAAGATACGGCAAAAAATTAGCAATGCGAAATGAGAACGACGATTATGCCGAAATTGACTTAAGAACCCTCTCTACACTGCACACTGAAGAGTTCTGATTCCAAGGTATTTTTCTGCTGTTAGAGTGATCTGCCCTAGATCTAAATTGTAAAAAAAATAGAAATTTACAATACATTACTCAATTTGTAATTAATTCAAGTATTCTTAACATTTAAAAGGCCAAGATAAATTAATTAAACATGTTATTTACATGTATTTTCTCTATTGAAGTAATTAATAGTGATTTCTTTTCACTGATACTATGTTGTCTTTGAACATTTTTCCTGGGGGTGAATGCCACGCACCATACAGATAAAATTGGATAAATAAGCTCAATATTAACTCCTTTATACGACATATTTTTCTCAATGTCCCCAAAAAATTGCACTTGTGCAGAGAGGGTCCTTAAAGTTAAAAAGTTACCCTGGAACCAATTCATGCTTATTGGCTAATTAGCACATACTCCAAAATCGCACTGAAAATGACCTGTCATGTTGTAAATTTTGAATTTACCGGGTGGCAGTAAATACAAAAATTAAAAATTTTGTATTTACTGCCACCCGGTAAATTCAAAATTTACAACATGACAGACCTATGAAAGGGGCATTTGAGCGTGTTAGACCGTAATGTTAAAACTACTTAAAAGTTTAATTCAATTATATATCACTTATTACTTATTGTATAGAGTTATAATCGATGTCTTTGATACATAATTTTTTTTTCAAAGATAAACATACGGATTTTCTCCTTTATGCGCAATCAAACGGGCGCAAAGGTAACGGTTATTCTACTTTATAATGTAACGATAACCAGTTTATCTATGGACGTAAAGTGTACTCAATCTGCCCCAAAGTATATATAAATGGTAAACTTGATCTTAAACTTTACTAAAGTAATACTAAGGAACAGACTAAGCTAATAAACTATGTAATCGTATATGACTCGTCCTGTTTGTTTTATTCAACCCAGGTTCTGAGATTCTTAGATTTTGATCAACACCTTGAAATAAGAAAACAGTTTGAATTTTAACAGTTAATTTACTACGGTGATAATTCTGAATAATTTGTAGTTGACAACAGATAACAAATAAGTTTCCAAAATAATCTTAAAATGTAAATTTAAAAAATGAGGTAGAGAAATAAATTAATAATTGAATAAATAATAACAAAGTAATTAATTTGATAACGAAAACATAATGGAGGAAAAATGAGTGTGATGCCTTAAGAAAAATCTATCTAAATAGGGGAGAGTGAGTTTCCATACATCTTAAAAGATTCCATAAACACTCTAATCACTGTGCAAGTAGACTGAAAATTTCCTAACACCCTATTTATATTACACATGGGACAAGGCAATTTATTTGTTATAAATAACACCATAAATATAGGCCTAGGGATATCTTATTCATCCTTGAACCAATGTGACTCTAGAGTAATTAAGGACCTAGTTACATTTTACAGAATTTAGATCATGTCCTAAACAAAAAAATCCACTCCAGCTCATCTAAATCTACCAGGAAAACACTAAAGGGATATGGCCAGTGCGTCAAATGGGTAAAGAGTTAAACATCTTTTTCTCAAGAACCGGGCGGCGGGCGGGCACTGGACCAGAAAAGCTGAAACTTATATAGAAGCATCGTCAAGTAGTGTAGATTGTAAATTGTTCACACTGTAGAAATTGGAAGGTATTGTCTGAATATAAAAAAATCAACACTGAATTAAATATGTGTATTTCATTTATGCAAAAATATATTTCAAATAGTTCGTAATTTTTAGGAACACTTTATTTGTGTGTATCAAGTAAAATCATGAAATAGTATTAGATATGGCAAAAACACCCTTTCGTACAGAAAATACCTATTTACAATTTTATAGATAAAAGCAACAGAAGCATAATTTTCTTAAGATTAGGAATTGACACAAAAGGAGATTAGGTTGAATATGAGAAGGGGGATTCTTAATTTTAAGATCACCTCGACGAAGTCGAGCTGAGCTTATGCTATACCCCCGGCGTCAGTGTCCCGGTTAAAGTTTTAGGAGCAGGTCTGCGCGTTCCCAAGTAACTATGAGCTCTACCTGGACCAAACTTGCATGAATAATGCATCTAGAGATGGACACTAGCTGGATCTGACCTACATTTCTGGATGAGTGACCAGGTTAAAGTTTTTTGAGCAGGTCCATTCCCAAGTAACTATAGGCCCTACTAGGACCAAAGATGCATGAATAATGCATCTAGGGATGTACATTACCAGACTTTCTTCGGATGCTGGATCTGACCTACATTTTCCAGATGAGTGACTAGGTTAATCACAATAAACTATAAGCCCTACCTGGACCAAATCATCTAAGGATGGACAATTGAAACTTGCTTCGGATACTGGCTGTGACCCACATTTTCCAAACAAGTGACAAGGTTTAAGTTTTTGGAACAGATTTATCCCCATTGAACTTCAAGACCTATTAAGTGAATTTGCTTTGATATTGTTGTCAGGATAAATACTAATTGTTAAGAAAATATAATTAAGATTTGCATTACTTAAACTGATAGCATTCGTCGAGGTGAGCTTCTTAATCTTTGTTTACCTATGTTTTGTTTTGTTTTGTTTTTTTTTTTTTTTAATAGTTTTTTAATGTTTATATATGTTAAAAGAGTTTTTGCAATTGTTAAGAATCTACAGTCTTAATTAAAAATTGAGAAAATACACACACACGCCCTCTCTCTCTCTCTCTCTCTCTCTCTCTCTCTCTCTCTCTCTCTCTCTCTCTCTCTCTCTCAAACACATCCTCTCACACCCTCTCACACACCCACACACTCAAACACCCACCCTCCCCCCCCCCACACTCACCCTAACACACACACACACCCTCACACACACAATAATAAATACCCTGGTAAATAAAATCTCTAAATCCTGCTTCAAGTATTTAGTTTTTCCCAGAAACACACTGGGACGCCTAGTACACTGAATAATACTGCAGTGCAATGTTGGAATATATATATGTATGGTAAATTGTCATTATAGGGTGATAAAGCTACAGGAAATAATTAAGCATTACATTTAGTGCCTGCATTTCTGCTTTTTATGACATCTGGCCCCAAGACCATAAACTGAAGACAAACTTTAGTCAAAATTTTGATGTGAAATTATCCTTGAGTTTTGTTTAATCTATTTGTTAAAAAAAATTGCAGACTTGCTTCGCATTCAACTGTAAACTCATGTTATAAAATGTGTTTATTAACCAAATATTTTAAAAAAGTTATTTTGGTTTGAACTATTGACTTGAGTCTGTTTTCAGTTTGTGGTCTTGGGGCCTGTAATGATTTCATATTGAGAGATACCAGTGACAATTCAACAATGTTCAAGTATATTGCATTCTGTACTGAAACACTTTGACAAGTCCTACGTAGTTTCCAACCCAGAGTAATGACTTGTAAAGTGATAATCTGAATGGACTGTTCATTTCATTCTCTGTCAGTAAAAACTTTAGGAACTCCCCGTCAGGACTCAGTAGATGGATCTGTTTGTTGTCAACATCAGTAACAAGGATGTTACAGAGGTAGTCACACACTACATCAGTTGGATTAAATTTGTCTACTTGGTTCTGTCCACGGTAGACATACTTCATGTGACCAGAGGGAGACATAATCACTAGTTCACCTGTAGCGACACTTGTGCGGTTCACAACACAGATATCAGTGTTTCTGTTCTGTGTGACTCTGACTGGCGACGTAAACAGTCTGGTTTGACCGTCCTCCTGGTACTCATACTCATGGATGACATCACCTGTCACTGTGATGTGTCTCACCAGACGTCTGCTCTGTGACTCTAATTTGTAACGATCTGATTCCTCATCCAACAAGGTGAGCAGTAATCCACCGTCCACTGACTGACAGATTCCTCCTGGTATCAGTGGATCTGTACTGATGACTGTAGAGACGGACCCTGATGGTGACAGACAGCTAATGGATTTGTGATAATAGTCAGTGAAATTAACATCACCATTATTATGGTTTACATACATGTCATTAGCTTTAATATTGTATTTATGTTTTATTTCACCACATCTGTTTACTTGTTCAAGGTTGTCTGACCCTAATTCTCTTATGTAACAATGATCTTCACACCATACCCTTAATGCAATTATTACTTTGTCTCCATATATAAATGAGTTTGTTTCAGTCAGACTTATATTGTTTACATCCAGAATTTCTCCAATCATATTCTTCAGAACCTCATCACTGATTTCTCCTTTACTGTATCTCACAGAATGTTTACAGCTTTTCATTTCAACATCTAGATCCAGCCCAGACATCTTTTTTGTCAGTTCCCTGTGGTTATCAATGAAGCTGTAATCTGACATGGTACTCTTGTTATCCTCCATAAACTCTATCATCTCTTCCATTTCTTTTTTCTTTTTATTTAGCTTAGATTTCTCACTGTTCAACTTTTTATTTTTCACGTCCAATTCCTCTGTCAGTCTTCGTTCATTATCTTTCATGATTTCTGTTAATTTGGCCATTATCTTATCGAAATGTTTATGAAGCATTTTAATCTCAGAGTCACACAGGTCTTTATTTTTTCTGACCTGTTTTGAAACCTTCTCTATCTTTTCATCAATCCGAGGCAGATCTCCTTCCTTGATCTTTGTCAGAAATTTAAGCAGTCCTCTCCTCATTTCATTGGCTGCCGTGGGTAGAGTGTTCCATTCGTGATCTCTATGATCTGTTTTGGCACACGTGGCACAAATAAATTCATCACAGTCCTCACATATAACATCAATAGGTAAATCGTGGGTTTTACACATTTCAATGTGCTCTTGAGGGGAGCCCAGTGGATATTTGGGTTTACTGGCGGCCATGTTTGTTGAATGTTTCCTACATACGACCTAGATTTGAGGCAACGTTAAGGAAGATATGCTTTGTGAAGTGATTTGGACTTTAAAATGAGATATCATATAACATGACATGCACAGCGAGCAAACAGGTGTGCACAAACAATGGATATTATAAAAAGGTAACTTAAAACTAGGTGTATTCATTGTCATTAAATTAAATTTTAAAATATATCTAGCATATCATGCAGTAGTTATGAGGTGTGCATCTTTGCTAGCAAACGGGGTTTTAGTCCCTTTTTAAAATTCATGGCAGATAATACCACCAAACTTTGTATACTTTCAAGTCGGATCCTTAGAAGAAATGAGACAAAAAGCTTTCATGTTGCAGGTCATTTTCAAAAGAAGAGGCCCATAGGCCATAATTTTCTGCCAAGTCAATATGACCCTGCTGTTCTTCATCAACAGATTTTTTACTGCAATGGTATATTCCTGTGTATGTTATTGCCAAGAAACAGGAGGCCCATGGGCCACAATGCTCACCCAAGTCAAAAGTGCTTTTCTGTTCTCCATTTATTTAGCAGATTTTCCCCTATATTATCCTTCTTAGTCATTGGGTCATTGGAATATAAGAAAGTAGCATTGGTAAAAGAAGACCATGCTGGTGATACGTGATACATCCCTCCCACACAATAAGACAGGTCAGAAAAACAAGCCCAAGACAGGGAGGTAACTCTTGAAACTATGTTACCTGCTAAAGTTCATTTCTTGGTGTGAACACCCCCCCCCTGAAAAAAAATGTCAAAAAGGGGAAAGCACTCTTCACACAAGTAATATTAAATGTTGATTCCCTAGTTAATGTCATTGGGGGTGGGGATATCTTTTTGTCTGTTGTCAAAAGTAAACGGTGTTTTAGTCTCCGCGAAAAAGTAGCTTAGGCCAGAATTCCCAATCATTTAAGGTAGGGTTCTTCTCACACAAAACTGTATTTGTGGTATTTAATCAAAGTACTGAAAGTACTGTTGGACGGAGGCTTTATGTATGAGAGAACACAAAAGAAATATATATATCATACATAGCTGTAAAGAATATTTTGAGAAATAATGTGTAGTTTTTTTTCAATTCAACATTTTTTTCAAAGGATACTCCAATATTCATGAGGTTTTTGGGATATTATAATTTCATCTTTGTAATGTAAACTTCGCCATGATTAAAGTTCACTGTTATTTAGATGAGATACTTTCAATATTAAACCTTTCAACGTAAGAAACAGTAATTGACTAGGCCTGGTTGACATAAAACTTAGACGGGCCAACTTTTTATCCCAGTCTCACTTAAGGAATATATAGTGGAAAAGTGAGACTGAGATCAAAAGTGAGCTTGTCTAATATAAGTTGTATGCCCCCAGGCTCGGTTTGATGAATGTAGGTCTAGTATGTTCTAGTCATGAGCCCACTGGCGGAATTAAAAGGGGCCCCTGGCCCCCTCCCTTTTGAGTCCAAAAGATACGCAATATTTGATAAATGAGTGTTTTAATTGTGGCTGTGGGCCCCTTCCTTGACCTCAAACTGGTTCCCCTTTTTCAGAATTTCTGATTCAGCACTAGGCCTCAGCCAGTCAGGAGTTTCCATATTTCAAGATATCTTATTTATAGGTCACAGAGACCTACTGTTAACATAATTATGACATGTAACAGCTACCAAAATCAAAATTTCTCGGCCTTATTCTAATAATGTTATGATATGAGCTAACATGGAAAAAGAAGCAGCCAGGTAATTGGACATGAACAACATAATATAATTCAGTTTGTCTTAAACCTTTGTGATACAAAATGGAGTGACCCAGCTTGATGCAACACAGAATTTTCTTTAAGTATTATAAAGTCATTAACATGCAATAAATGTTCGTGCCAAAACACAATTTTTTGAGTGGAATAAAATATACTTTCTTACTTAAAGTAAACAGAACAATAAAGTTCATAATACTTGCTATTCCACGAGTTTAAATTGTTTTTGGAGAACTGGGGTATTGTTTACAATAACAAAGATATATCTTGACAAATTTGACAACCAATATTTCTGGAATTATTAAATGTGGTATTTTATCATATGACAGATTTAACCCAAAAAATGTCTTTCTTTACTCGTATACCAGTGGAAATGGTTGTCCTTTTCAGTTTATCTGTTTAAAACAATCATTAACAATGAGACATGATTACAAATTACGTAGAGAAAAGTAATAAATATATAACTATGGTTTCTGCTTTTCAGTAACTCTGTTCAAACAATCACTTCTCCAATGATGTAGGTTTAAAAAAGTTGACATGAATACCAATGATCAGAAATACATGTAATCTTGTATATAAAAAATAATTAAAGTTTGAGATGTGAAAGAGGTAAAACACAAGTATCAAATGCAAATAAGGATCAACGATATGACAATAAGACAACTTATTTCAGAAGATATAATTTTTAATTATTAATTAGGATATAATGTGATAAATCATGTAAATCCTATGAACCAAGATTTGGGTTGTACCCAAGGGTCAAAAGTTACAAATGCATTTTGATCTCAATATCAGAGTTGCCGTTTGTTTCTCTCTTATCTAATGTGAGGGTACCCCCAAACACTCAAACCGCTTGTAGAAAAAGTAAATCTATTTTCATGTGTTTCCTAAAGAACTACGAACTCTAACTCTTGATTCCCGCCTACAATTTGCACCCATTAAATTCAATTTTAATGGCAATTTGGCCATTAAATCTTTGTTTAATACAAAGAACAGTTCTATGGTAATTGATTAATCATTTTATTTCCAGTGCTAGATAGTAAATTATCATTAATTTCAGCTGTTCAAGAAAGGGGGGTAGGCGATATTTTCTGGTGAAATCGAACTTTCAAGAATCACCATATTTTGAAATAGTCGTAGATATCATAAAATGTATCTCATATCTTTTCTTATGTTTTACGCAAATAAATAAAACATATATAAATAAATAAAATACCATTATTTAGTTGTAAATAGCTTAAAAATTGGTGAAAAATCAGCATTTTTTTCGGTTTTTGTTTATAAACATATGTTTCCCCCCGTGAAACACAAAAAGCTTCGGCATAAATTTGTTAAATGACAGTCCATATTACCTGTAAAAAGGAATTTTTGTTTCACGGGGGGGGGGGGGGGGAGATGTTTTAAATATATTTTCCGTTTTCCGTTGATTTCTACAGTGAAAAACACAAGTTTAACCAAAATTATAGAGTTATCTCTCTTTGGTATCCCAAATAAGTAACGTTTTATGAAAATTCATATAAAAATCAATAACAAATTTTGCAAATCGATCGAGTATGTTAACTTTTGAGAATTGACTTAGAGGTAGGCGGGAGAACAATACTATCGTTCGTGGTTCTTATACATAATTACAAATAAAGAATTCAAAACTAGACTGTTAATATTCCTACAGATAAAAATACTATGCATTTGTTTATTCATCGATCCTTGTCAGATTAAAAAAAACTCCATGAAACCTATTGATGCAAGCGTCAAAAATCGGCCGCAAACCAATTTATCGGCCCTTTCAAGAAGAAATTAGAAAAGGAGTGAAAATGAGATTACAAACAGCAATCAAGCACAAAAAATTCCATTTAAGCTGAAATGCTTGATCTATTATTAAGATATCTCATATTTATACCTGCGACATAAAACATTTGCATGCGGCATTGCAGGATTTTCTTCAATACATAATACAGGTACATCTGCGTCTCCACACTTTTAATAAAAGAAGCAATTGATAAGTGGGGTTCCTCGATCACTCTCCTCGGATGTTACCCCCCCCCCCCAAACTCCCTCTAGATCCGCCACTTCATTTCTTCTCGTTCTTGTTTTGGTGTGAGAATCGGTGGGAAAAGGCTCGGCATATTGTAAAACGCGCTTTATCATCGTCTATTTGAACAAAATCTCCTAATATTCTGTCTGATAAAAAATTAACAGTAAATCACATTCTTTTTTACATATTCCGTAGGAAATGTATTTATATACACGTCATTTTAAAAATGTTAGACAAATCCTGTTTATTTAGAAAAAGTAGAACTGTTTGTTTATACTTGTATGTGACGCGATCTTTGTTTTAGATTATGCCTATCCTTGCGGTCGGTGTTACTCAGAGTCACTCTAAAAATAGAATTCTCAAGGTAATGAAAACAATTCCACCGATAGATGGTGCTTGGGAAATCTTTCCTGTTTACATTCCATGGGCAAGACAATCCCTATATCCGGAGGCTGTCATACAGCCTCCGTCTAAAAATTAATGAAATTTTCACAGAATGAAGAAGACTATTACTAAGTGATGGTATCAGTTAGATTAGTTTTGACCGTTTTATATTAGAGCCAAGGCCAGGTCCAGGTCATTAACTTTTCCATGGTCATTATGAATAAAAACTGAATCCAATCATGAGATAGGGTCTTCTATTTCATATTATTAAATGTTTTTCTTTTTGCATAAAAAGATATTACCATGTAGGGTCTATAAGATATTAACAAATTGACACAAATAGTTTAATAAAGATGGATTTTGGCTAATCCGAATTTCCTCTATTTTTCTTCAAATTTTTTAGGTTATTTAAGTTATGTGTATATGCACCCTATATTTAAATTTTTCTTATTTTCACGTATGGTAAAGAAGTTGAACAGAGATACAAAATGATACAAAAACAAGTTTCGTCCGTTTAGTAAGAGAGAAAAAAACACTTTCTATGGATTTTTGGCTCATATCTATACTCAGATTGGAAGCTATTGAAAGCTAAAATAATTGTGGTTTGTTTGGAAATTCATATTTTTTTTTATTATTTTAAAACTTATTATCCCTATTATTGAATTAGCTAACATTTGGAAAATTCTTCTAGTCTATGATTGTGTAAAAACTATAACTAATATCGTTGTTTTATAATAATTTTGAGAGGCAGAAAAGATGATATTCCAGCAAAAATATAGTCCCTGCTAGTTTTCGAACACAATTTACCAAATCTATTTAAAGTAC